CAGGGCGGTGCCAGCGGGAGCTCCCAGCTCAGCTCCACGGCAGTGGTGGGCCAGGGCAGGGAGAACAGCCCATGTTTATGTCATCAGGGAGCGGGTGCCAGGGATCGGCAACTACCCAGACCACACAGAGGGCTCCCCCTGGCGAGTACACTCACGACCCCGTCATGAACACGGCACCGCAGCGCCCCTGAGAAGAGGAGCTGACCTACCGCAAGAGCAACGTGCAGGAGAGTGACTGACAGTTCATACCTTGATCTCGTCTAAGTCGAAGTGCCACGATCGATTACATTCTCCACCTTTGTCAGGCCTTCAAATCGAATACAAAAAAAGAAAATCAGTCTCGGTGTAAAGAGACGGGCTTTATATAACACAAAAAAGCACCTTCATTAAAGCCTGCAGAGAACAAAAGGAAAATTCTCATTAGGAATTCCTTATCCCACGCCAGCATGCAAGGAACGCTCAGGCACAGCCGTCACAGTGAGTCCCTTCTGAAGAGGAAGTGAGTTGTGTTAAAGCACCAGGAACAAAGCGACCGGCAGCTTTTTGTGAAAGAGGCATAGCAGATAACCGTGCAGGGAGCCCGAGGCCGCCTGGCTGCTGCATGCCTGCTCGGTGATCTGCGGGTGCCTGACCCCTGCTCAGGACTCTGCAGCCACTACCCGGTGATGGGGGCTGAGCAGACGCCATCTCACTCTGGACAGGGCGACTCTCATTCTCTGAACGCGAACGCAGAGGCCGTCAGACCCTAAGCCTCTGGCACCCCACAGCCCCCGACCAGGGGCATTGACGTGGCCTCAGTGTCGGCAGAAACGACAAGCTTTGCACTAGGACGGGAGGAAGTAGCGCTGTAAGTTTCCGTTCCAGCCTCGTAAGGGAAGCAGACGCTGTGTGCACAGATGCCAGAGGACAGCATGCCACATCCGGGAAAGCCAGAGGGCCGGGGACGGAGAGTCAAGGCCACCAGCGAGCCTGGGGAGAAAGCAGAACTGCAGGCCACCTGGGTCCCGTTCAGGCTGTGCTCTTCCTGTCCCCGTTCCCAAGAAACGAGCATGTGCTCCTCCCATCAGAGCAGTGGCACAGGGCCGACCCCTCTGGGGCACAGCGATGTGCAGTTTAACCTCACGGCCATGCACACACCACAAGCTGAGAAGGCACAGACCAGGGGGCGGGGGCGGTGTCCGTGAAGTGTCAGGTGTGTTATTTTATCTTTACATCTACGGTAATATGTATAGTTTTACTTATAAAAATAGAACATATTTGTAATTTAAAGAAAAAATTAGAAAATTAAAATTTAGTGATCCTAGGGGCCAGCAGGTGCCACATTAGTCAAGGCACTGGATTTCCACATGACCTACAACAGTTCAAGTCCCAGACCTGGAGACTTGAAAATCATGCCAGGCACGCGTGCATGTGTGCCCAAAATCCCCGGAGGAGAACGGAAGACAAAGGATTGTATGGCCACTGCCCCGGGAAGTGATTTCTCACTTTCCCTCTCAGTCTTTCTCTGTCTCTCTGGCAGGTACATGTGCCCTGGCAAAAACCATTAAAAAAAAAAAATTAGCAATCCTAAAATACACTCAGAATCCCTAGACACATATTTAAACTAAATTGTTACTGTTCTATCAAAACAGAACTAAACGACAATAGAATTAGAGTTACTTAGAAGGACTAACGGTATTTTTAAACGAGGATGGGGTTCACTGAAAGACTGCTACCCAAAGCAATAAGATAAATAGTCAGACTGCACTCAAGCCCAGTCTGGAGCCGGCTAGCTCCTTCGGTCGTTTACGCGCCCACGGCATTAGATGCTTGCCATAATCCGTGGATTGTCCAGTAATCCGGAGGGTCGCTACAGTCATTCTGAACTTCCTGGAGAGAAAGACACAGAGAAAAAACATTAGATCATTGTTTATGTAAATGCATTTAGCAACCTGCCTCTTTCGGGGTACGTCACTAGGATCCAGTACGAACACAGGGAACTGCTAGCGCTAATCTGTATGGAGCGTGTTCTGGAACACGTTCGCAGAAAACGCCGGAGGCTGGGTAGTCTAGGCCAGTCCTCCACAATTCGGTGCACAGGACTCAACAGTGACTGCTGCTTCTGCTGCTGTCTTCGTGTGCCTGCAGATCAAGTCGATCGGATGGAAACACTTCATTTGCCCACCAATGACTTGCTTTCCATGCAGTAGACAGCAGTTTGGAGCATAAAGCTGCGAATCCCTGCTAAGCCCAAGCCTGCTCACATACGAGTCTAAATCCACCAGTGAAATAACTAACACTGAAAATGTGGAGCCGACAAGAAGAGCCAAGGGGAACAAGGGTGCCTCCGTAATCTCCGCAGTGGAGACCACAGCACAGGGTGGAGTCTCGGCAGTGCCCGTGACGGGGTGAGGGACTCCGAGGCCGAGCTCAAGTGGAGCTGCTCCACGTGGGCACAGAAGTAGCCATGCCCAGTGCCCACAGGGACCCCGGGAGCATCAGGCCCCACTGGCCCCGCCTCTGGTACGAAATAGCTTCCGTTCACGGTTGAGGTGATGACATACCAGTGAGAGGTGGCATCTACTGACCAAGTGGCTGACAAAGCGCAGGACTGAGGTGACAAAGCCGCCCATCCCCTCTACTGCCACGGTGCTACTGAGGGCGGGAAGACCAGCGCCAACGTGGATCTCGTCTGGCCCTGCGTCTAGGTCTCCGCACGCACCCCTTCAGGTAGCCTGGCCGAGGACAGCCATGGCCCTTCAGCCAACAAGCACTCCTCGGCTCCTAGGCTGGCTCCGAGGCCATGCCGCCCAGCCCCGAGGACATGGGATGCCCAAGGTAGGTGTGTCCCAGCCCCCACACTGTGCACACCTCCTCAGAGGAGGGCCCAGGTTCGGCTCTTGCAGCTGAGGAAGAGGCCAGGACTGCAACACAGCCAGCCCAGACCACGGCCATCCTTTGTGAAATGAACTCCCTACGTGTCATCCTGTGGGTCGCTGATCTGTGGGCAGCTCATTGCTCCAGCCTCAAGGTGGGAAGGCCTTCAGTGCATGTGGCCACAACGAGACACACTCACAGACGCCTCACAAATGCTCACCACCCCCGGTCGCAGCCCCACAGGCAGTCCTCTGGTGCTGGCCCAGAGCACGCTCAAGTGGCCTGGGGTCCTCCGCAGGAGCCCAGGACCTCCGCCACCTTCCGAGGGAGTGGCATCTGGACTCCTCGCTGGCATGACCCAGTGCCTGGACTTCCTGCCATTCAGTCCGTTCCACCCCCGCCCCACACCAAGGGGCAGGCCAGGCAGAGGCAGAAACAGTGCACCACCAGGCCTGCAGGCCTGTGTGCAGGGCAGTCGGATGACCAAAGGGCGGTGGCTCGGAGTGAGTCCCAGCTCCCGAGTACAAGCTCTGATGTCACACGTGGGACTTTTACTTTCAGCGGGGAAGTGGAAGAGAACACCATTACCCTCGGTCCCAGGGCCCAGGTGGGAAGCCCAGGTGCCCTGGCAGCAAGGGGGCGCCAGCTGCGACACCCAGGCACTGCTCCTTCTGTCTCGCAGCCTCTAAGGGACCTCAGATGGAGAACTTGTACCAGAGTCTCAGAAGCATGGTCAGTAAGATTAGGGCCAGCGCAGTAATGGGGTCAAACATTTGGGAACTGCACAGGGAATGCCAGGCCAGGCTGTGCACACCGCAGGGTGCCCGGCGGCAGGGCATGAGCAGATGGGCACAGCGAGGCAGCTGCAGACACACGGCCCAGCCTGGGTCTCTGCAGAGCAGGGAAAAGGGAGAGATTTTAACAGGACTTCTAGTAAAATGGACAGAGGGAGAGACGGTCAAGGCCATTGGAGGGTTGGACAGTGTCCTCCACAAAGACGTCTCGCCCCAGCTGGGGACACAGCCTTATTTGAAAACAGACCTGCAGATGAAATCAAATTAAGGTGGGTCACACGGTATTAGGCTGGGCCTTAAGTTCTTGTGAGGCTCAGAGATGCAAGGTGGGGACCCCAGGTGAGGGGAGTCAGGGCAAGGTGTCCTAGTGCAGGGATGTCACAGGGTCCCACTCCCACCCACACCAGGACAGGCCCAGAACTACCCTGTGGGGGCCGATGAAGCTCCAGCCTGGGGCCCGGCTCTGTGGGGCTACTCCAGCCTCTGCCACAAGTAAGGCAAGGCCCTGCGGCAGGCACACACATGTAAACCAGCTCTGTGTGGGCTTCCCGGGGCCAAGGCCCCACAGTGGGCACACGCATGTAAACCAGCTCTGCGTGGGCTTCCCGGGGCCAAGGCCCCACAGCGGGCACACGCATGTAAACCAGCTCTGCGTGGGCTTCCTGGGGCCAAGGCCCCACAGTGGGCACACGCATGTAAACTAGCTCTGTGTGGGCTTCCCGGGGCCAAGGCCCACAGTGGGCACACGCATGTAAAGCAGCTCTGTGTGGGCTTCCCGGGGCCAAGGCCCTCCGGCAGGCACACGCATGTAAACCAGCTCTGTGTGGGCTTCCTGGGGCCAAGGCCCCACAGTGGGCACACGCATGTAAACTAGCTCTGTGTGGGCTTCCTGGGGCCAAGGCCCCACGGCGGGCACACACATGTAAACCAGCTCTGTGTGGGCTTCCTGGGGCCAAGGCCCCACAGTGGGCACACGCATGTAAACCAGCTCTGTGTGGGCTTCCTGGGGCCAAGGCCCCACAGTGGGCACACGCATGTAAACTAGCTCTGTGTGGGCTTCCTGGGGCCAAGGCCCCACGGCGGGCACACACATGTAAACCAGCTCTGTGTGGGCTTCCTGGGGCCAAGGCCCCACAGTGGGCACACGCATGTAAACCAGCTGGTGGGCTGCCGGGGCCCAAGGCCCCACCGCGGGCACACGCGTGTAAACCAGCTCTGTGTGGGCTTCCCGGGGCCAAGGCCCCACGGTGGGCACACACGTGTAAAGCAGCTCTGTGTGGGCTTCCCGGGGCCAAGGCCCCACGGCGGGCACACGCGTGTAAACCAGCTCTGTGTGGGCTTCCCCAAGCCCAAGGCCCCGTGGCAGGCACACGCATGTAAACCAGCTCTCCATGGGGCTTCCCAGGCCCCACGGGCAGCTGAGGCCGAAGAGCTCACCTCGCACACCGTGGCAGGCCAGTGCTGAACTATAATCAGCTTCTTCCACTCGTGGCTGCGGCTGTTAAGACAGGAGGAACAGAATTTCAAGAACTTTTTGAAGGTCCTGAGACAATGAACTGACCTATCTCCCCATTCAATCATTCCTTCAACATGGCGAACCATGGGGCTAGGGATGCCCCGCACAGACCAAGCTGTGCACCCCTGGAGTGCGTGTTCCGGTGGGAAGGCGGTAACCACGCCAGCTAAGAAACACGCGGTGTAACGGGGTGTGGGTGGCAAGAAGATATGAAGCAGACAGCAGGCCAGGGGTGGGGACGGGTGTGGCCAAGGGCCTTGCTGAGGCAGTGACTGCCCCACGGGCAACTCTCCAATGGCTCAGCTGGGGACGCACGGACACGGCGACCCTCGGCTGCATCCCTGACAGCCACGAGACCCTGAGAGCTGCACGCTGTGGGACACTCACGTGGCAACACAACCCAACCTGAGGCCTCGCGGCCCTGGTCCTCCTACCCTATCCTTGGCGCGGATGCCATGCTCCTCTGGTTTGGTACAGGGCGCCACAGATGCCACCGGGGCTGCTGTCTGAAACCCGGCACGTGCACCCCACAGCCTGTGCCACCAGAACCGGCGCAGCAACACACCCCGCTCGGTCCACTACCCAACCTGGCGCGGCACACACCGCCCTGCAAACCGAGAAGCTATGGGACACGTGTGACCAGGACTCCACATGTGGGTCGTCCCCTCAGCTGTGCGGTTTATTCACACGCAGGATGCGTGGGCGGGCGCTGCTGGCCAGCTTCGGGGGCTCAACATCGAGGGCATCACAGCCCGCCGTGGGGCTCACAGAGAGCCTCAACGAGGTGGGAAGAGTGCAGCGACCCAGGAATGCAAGCGAAACGGACCATTCAGGGTACACGCATCTGTGAGGGAAAACTGCAGGTGAAACAGCCCGAGCTGTTACACAGCAGCACCTGTAAACAGCCCAGACCTGCTGAGTAAGTGGACAATTCAGTTAGGACGGCACGGGCCTCCCTGCGTGCCCCAACTAACGCACAGCCTCTCGGTACAAGAGCAAAGGGAGGACAATCAGACTAGAAGAGTTACCGCCGCCGTGCCCCCAGGTGCACACCCTTCTTTCACACAATGGAAACTGATGCAGGAGGGCCAGGATCCAGGACCTCTAGGGGTCAGTAGTTTACAAAACACGCCATCCTCAGGACCCCTGCAACATCTCCACCCGAAATTCAGCTAAAAGAATGACTGGCCAGCCAGCAGACGGTGTGGAGGTTGCGGTGGCTGGATCGCACATGGAGACTCCACCTTTGAGTCCTGGGTCCTGTGGCTTGAAAACCACCCTGGGCATGTGAGCATGTGTGCCCAAGGTCTGAGACGAGAAGGGAGGACAGGATGGCCAGGACCATCACCCCACCCCGGAGAAAGCAAGGAGAGGCTGAGGAGCCAGAAGGAGGCAGAGGGAAATCGGGAAATCCAGTCCTCAAACCCAGTCAGGGCTTGGGCAGATGCACTGGGTTTTAGTCAGCCCTGTGTTCTTCCAAACCTGGTGGCGACCACGCCGGGCTCAGGAGCCTGGGCCAAGCACCCCCACCACCCTCTGCCACCTGCTGCGGGACAGGGCCAGCGGTGAGCAGCCGGGCACCTGCAGAGGACCTGGGCCAGCGGTGAGCAGCCCGGGACAGGGCCAGTGGTGAGCAGCAGGGCACCTGCAGAGGACCGCGGGCCAGTCAGTGGTGAGCAGCCGGGCACCTGCGGAGGACCTGGGCCAGCAGTGAGCAGCCGGGCACCTGAGAGGACCGCGGGCCACTGGCCTCGCACTTGGCGGTTCACCAGCTCCACTGACCACGAATGAAGTACAAGGAACTTTTTCAGAAAAATACTTTCTGGGAACACTGAGATCCAATGTCGCCTTTTAACCTAAACGGTAAAACGCAGAGGCACTTCCTGAAACAGTACAACGCGCCTTCCCACACCTGCTATCCAGGTAGAAGCCCGACCTTACCCAAGTGGGACAGAAAACAGAGCCGGGTACTCGGGGCTGGCCCAGGCCCGCACAGGCTGCCACAGGCGGTTTCCCAGGCAGCAGGCCGGCCACGGGGTCGCTCGGAAGGAGGAAGGGCAGCGCTCGCCAGAAACCGCACGCGGCCTAAAACTCCGCGTTCCCCCCACCGCCCCGCCAGCCTTTCCAAGGAGCTCGTCCGCCCGGCCCGGTGCCTCCCGAGGTGTCCCGGCAAGTGGGGACCTCCGGAGACGAACCCACCTCAGGAGCTTGTCGGCGCCGCACAGGCACCCGAGGGCCAGGCACAGGCCGGCCAG